CTCGATCCCCAGTGGAGGGCATGCAGGAGGCAGCCAATCCTCACAGAGATGTTTCTCTCTCTGTCTCTTCCTCTCCCTCTAAAAATATCAATAAAAACATTAAAAAATAAAAAAGTATCAACCAGCGAATATAAAAATAAGTAGAAAAACTCAGTAGTCCTCTCCACCCCTTTCCACTTTCTAAAATCAATTAAAAATTGTTTTTAAAAATAGAAAGAAAGGCCTGGCCGGTGTGGCTCAGTGGTTGAGTGTGGACCCATGCACCAAGGGGTCACCAGTTTGATTCCCTGTCAGGGCACATGTCCAGGTTGTGGGCCAAATCCCCAGTGGGGACCATGCAGGAGGTGGCCAATCAATGTTCTCTCTTTTGTTTTGTTTTTCAACTTATCTTTGTTGTTGAATGTATTACAGATGTCCCTCCTTTTTCCCCTATTTAACCTCTCCCCCTCCTCCCACCCTACTGCTGCCTTTACCCACACTATTGTCTGTGTCCATTGGTCATGCATATACTTTTTTTTTTTTTTTTTTATCCTCACCCGAGGACATTTTTCCATTTTTTGCACAGATAGAGTGGGAGGGAGAGAGAGGAAGAGACAGAGAGAGAGAAACATCGATGTGAAAGGGACACATCGAGTGGCTGCCACCGCACGACCAACCAGGGCCGGGGACAGACTGCAACCGAAGTACGTGCCCTTAGCGGGAACCGAACCCGGGTCTCTCCGAACCGCAGGCCGATGCTCTAACCGCTGAGCCAAACTGGCCAGGGCATGCATATATTTTTTAAAAAAACTTATCTTTATTGTTGAAGGCATTACAGATGTCCTCACTTTTATTTCCCATTGACCCCCCTTCCCCAATCCTGCCCCTCTCCTGCCTTCCCCACACTATTGTCAGTATCCGTGGGTCATGCATATATGCATAGAAGGTCTTTGGTTTACCTCATCCCACCCTCCCTCTCCACTTCCCTTTGAGGTTCATCAGTCTAACAGCCAATTGTACTTCTTAATTCCTTCATCTTTTTCACCAGTCCCCCAGCCCCCACCCATTTGGCAAGCAACAAAAAGTTCTCTGTATCTAGGAGTCTGTTTCTGTTCTGCTTGCTCATTTTGTTTGTCGATTCAATTTTTGATAGATATGTATTAATTGCCATTTCATTGTTCATATTTTTGTTCTTCTTCAAGAAGACTCTTGAACATTTCATATAATACTGGTTTGGTGGTAATGAACGCTTTTAGCTTTTCCTTATCTGGGAAACTCTTAATATGTCCATCGATTCTAAATGATAGCTTTGCCGGATAGAGTAATCCTGGTTGTAGGTCATTGCTTTTCATCACCTTGAATATCTCTTGCCACTTCTTTCTGGCCTGCAAAATTTCTTTTGAGAAATCAGCTGACAGTCTTATGGGAGCTCCTTTGTAGGTAATGAACTGCTTTTCTCTTGCTGCTTTTAAGATTCTCTCTTAGTCTTGATCCTTTTGCATTTTGATGACGATGTGTCTTGGTGTGGACCTCTTTGGGTTCATCTTGTTTGGGACTCTCCATGCTTCCTGGACTTGTATGTCTGTTTCCTTCACCAAGTTAGGGAAGTTTTCTGTCATTGTTTCAAATAAGTTTTTAATTTCTTGCTCTCGCTCTCTTCTCCTTCTGGCACCTCTACGATGTGAATGTTGGCACGCTTGAAGTTGTTCCACAGGTTCCTTACATTATCCTCATTATTTTGGATTCCTTTTTCTTTTTGCTGTTCTGATTGAGTGCTTTGTGCTTCCTTATATTCCAAGTCAATGGTTTGCTTCTTGGCTTTACCTACTCTATTATTGATTCCCTGTAAATTATTCTTTATTTCAGTTAGTGCCTCCTTCATTTCTGACTGGTTCTTTTTTATGTTGTTGATCTTCTCACTAAGTTCTTTGGAGGTCTCACTAAGTTCCTTGGAGGTCTCACTAAGTCCCTTGAGCATCCTTATAACCAGTGTTTTGAACTCTGCACTTATCTCCATTTTGTTTAATTCTTTTCCTAGAGTTTTGTTCTTTTCTTTCATTTGGGACATGTTTCTTTTCCTCCTCATTTTGGCTGCTTCCCTGTGATTGTTTCTATGTATTAGGTAGAGGTGATATGTCTCCTAGGCTTTGTAGATTGTTCTGTTGTTTTAGGTGTCCTGTAGGGTCCAGTGGCACAGCCTCCCTGATCACCCCAGCTGGGCCCTCGAGGTACCCCCCTTGTATGAACTGTACACCCTTCTGTTGTAATTGAGTCTTGATTACTTGTTGGCATGTCAGTGGGGGGAATTTACTCAGGCTAATCAGCTGCAAGGATTGGCTGTACTCACTGACCTCTATCTTGGAGGGTCACCTGTGCAGGGCTCTGGTACCCACTGAGTCCGCACATTGAGTGTGTCACTTGTGGAGGTGGTTGGGTGGTGGTGATTCGACATCGTCTGAAGGTGTCCACTGGGTGTGCTGGCTCTGGGGCCAGGTCAGCCACTCTGGTGTTCTACCCGGGGCTACCAGGCATAAGCTACAGAGCAGTCTGCTGATGGCTGCTGCTTGTGCTGGGCTTGGAGGTGCCCAGGCGAAGCCAAGCTGTGGACCAAGGCTGGCTGCTTGTAGTGCTGGGCCTGGGGCCACTTAGCGGGAGGTATGGGGCTCGCTGAGGCCTGATGTTGCTTTTTTTTTTTTTTTATCCTCACCTGAGGATATTTTTTCCATTTTTTTGTTCAGATAGAGTGGGAGGGAGAGAGAGAAACATTGACGTGAAAGGGACACATCAAGTGGCTGCCACCCTCACAATCCAACCAGGGCCGAGGACAAACTGCAACCGAGGTACGCGCCCCTAGCGAGAACCGAGCCCAGCTCTCTCTGGACTACAGGCCGACACTCTAATCGCTGAGCCAAACCGGCCAGGGCCTGATGCTACTTTTTTGAGAAAATTTGGGAAAATCTGAAACAGCCAAAACAGGCCATTCCTATGATAAAGCCATTGGAAACAGCTTGGGTGGGCCCTAAAGTTGGGTGGGACAGGGCCTCAAGGAATCACCAGGTGGGGTAAACAGTGTGAGCCAGGTTGCTGGAGTCCCAGGTATGGGGAAGGGCTCACCAAAGGAACAACGGCCTCTGATAGCATGTCTGTCCAGGAGAAAGCTGCCTGTCCAGCTCTCCTCGGATGCCAGACAGCTCGGTTCTTGCCCTGGCTGGTTTGGCTCAGCAGTTAGAGTGTTGGCCAGTGGACCGGAGAGTCCTGGGTTTGGTTCCCGCTAAGGGCACGTACCACGATTGCAGTTTGTCCCTGGTCCTGGTTAGGGTCGTGTGGGTGGCAGCTAGTCGATGTGTCTCTCTCACATCGATGTTTCCCTCTCTCCCTCCCGCTCTATCTGAAGATAAATGTCCTCAGGTGAGGATAAACAAAAACAACAACAACAACAACAACTCAGTTCTTTCCCATATATCTCTGGTGCCTTTTAAGCTGCCTCCCCCACGCTGGAGCCTGGAGGGAGTGAGTCCGAGTAAGTCCCTGCGCAGGTCCTTTAAGAGGAACTGGGGCTCCAGCGACCTCAACCTCCTTCTGTTTCAGTTCCCGCTGGTTTTTACAGCCAGAAGTTAGGGGGACTTGGCCTCCTGGCACTGAACCCTTAGCTGGGGGCCTGGTGTGCGACAGGGACCCCTCACTCCTCAGAGAGGACCTTCCCCACCGAGGTGTCCTGATTTTTATCCATCACATGTGGGTGTGGGACCAGCCTGTCCTCGCCTCTGTCTCTCCTACCAGTGTCGATGTGGCTTCTTCGTAGTTGGAGGACTTCCATTACGTTCGATGTCTGGCGGTTCTGAATGATGGTTGTTCTGTAGTTTAGTTGTAATTTTGATTTCTCTCTCATTGATGTTTCTGGCTCTCCCTCTCTCTTCCTGTCTCTCTAAAATCAATAAAGAAAAAAAAATAAAATTTAAAAAAGAAAGAAAGAAAGGGCCCTGGCTGGTTTGGTTCAGCAGTTAGACTATCAGCTTGCAGACCAGAGTCGCGTGTTCGATTCTGGTCAGGGGCACGTACCCCGGTTGCAGTTTGGTCCCTGGCTCTGGTCAGGATGATGTGGGTGGCAACCAATCAATGTGTCTCTCTCACATAGGTGTTTCTCTCTCTCCCCCTCCCATTCTGTCTGAAACTAAATAGAAAAAATATCCTTGGGTGAGGATTTAAAAAGAAAAAAGAGAAAGAGCCAGCCTGTGTGGCTCAGTGGATTGAGTGTCGTCCCATGGACTGGAAGGTCCCAGTTGGATTCCTGGTCAGGGCACATGCCTGAGTTGCAGGCTCGATCCCCAGTAGGGGGCGTGCAGGGAACAGCTGATGGATGTTTCTGTCTCTCCCTTCCTCTCTAAAAAAGCAATAAAAACATATTTAAAACAGGAAGGAAGGAAGGGAGGGAGGGCTAGAAGCCAGATCAGGGCAGGTAGGAGTGGAGGGTGGGCTCTCTAGGGACCATGTCCCTCCCTGCTGAAGGTCAGAGTTGGTGAAGAGGGTTCCCAGGTCCTGCCCCAGCTCCTGTGCCTCTTAGACTCCCTCCTTCAGATGGTGAATCATCACCTCCTCCTGGAAGCCCTCCCTGAATTTCCTATCTAGGGCAGGCCCCAGTGTAGGCTCACCTGGCACTTGGACTTAGGGAGGTTATGGCTAAGGTTGACTTACCTGGGCCAGTGGTTTCCTGAGTTCATTCACCGCTACACCCCAGTCTCCATGGGGCCCTGAGCTCAGTAGGTGTGTGCTCAGTGAACCAGTGACAGTGAAGGAGCACACCTGGCTCCTAGGGTCCTGGCTGTCAGGTATGTAGCCAAATGGACCAGGGGCTGAGCAAGTGGACCAGGTGGCCCTGTCTCCCTGGGATCCCCCAGGAAGCCTGAGGTCTTCAGGAGGGAGCTGTCTCACCTTCCTGGTGTCTTCAGGATCTTGGCAGTGTCCCCAGCTTAGCCACCTTCTGTCCCCCACGCCTGACTGAGACATTTCCCCTTTTATTGCAGCTTCATGGCAGCCGAGGAGATGCACTGGCCTGTCCCCATGAAGGCCATCGGTGCCCAGAACCTGCTAACCATGCCCGGCGGAGTGACCAAAGCTGGCTACCTGCACAAGAAGGGCGGCACCCAGCTGCAGCTGCTCAAATGTGAGTCTCCTGCCGGGAGCACGACGGGGAGACGTGGGGACGGAGCTGATCACACAGCGGGCCCTGCCGAGTGTCCCTTCCTCCCTGGCCACCGCACCCCCGGGGGGCCGCCTCAGCTCGCAGGACTGAGAGGGTCCGGGGTAGTGCAGAGATACGCCGGGCATTTATTTGGGGCACAGTGCTGAGCAGCTGGTCGGGCTGAGCCCTTGTCTTATCCGGTGGGTGTTCAGTGAGTGGGCTGGTCACTGTGGTTCAGAATGACCCCACATGCCAAGCAGAGACCTCTAGAGCTGCTTGAGACCAGGGCGGTGGTCTAGGACAGCAGGATGGGGGAGGGAGGGAGCCCCCAGCCCCGGGAGATACCCACATGTCAAGACACTGAAGGTCAGAGAGCTTTAGACCTTGCCCACCCCTCTCAGCAGCCTCAGGCGGCCATGCCTTTGCTGGATGCGGCCTGGTCGAGGGGCCCCAGGCTGGGCACTCGGTTTCTTTGTGGGCACCGACTAGTCTGCTGTCTTTGGACGGTGTGCCTCCAAGGATGGGCTATCACTGACCTGCCCCCAGGCCTGGGTGGGGCTCTTGTTGGCACACTCTCTGGGCTCTGTGTCCCCTCCCTCCCTGTGCCAGCATGAGGTGCAGGGAACCTCCAGCAGCCCCGCAGTTCACTGCCCCTGTCCCTGGGGGTCGTGGTAGCTCTGCACAGCCCAGCCCCCCAAGTCTACCCCTGCCTGCGGCCAGCCATCATGCCCACGAACGTGTGTCCACGTTTGACCCCATGCTAGACTCCTGGGGAAGAGCCAGCCCAGCTCTCTGCCCGTCCGTTCAGTGAGGGTTCAAAGCCTGGTGCAGTCGCCCAGGGCCCCTGGGGAGGGTCCCCAGAGAGGGGTCTGCCCAGCGGTGCCCCCAGCTCACCCTCACCCTCACCTCACCGCCCACAGGGCCCCTGCGCTTTGTCATCATTCACAAGCGGTGTATCTACTACTTCAAGACCAGCACGTCTGCCTCCCCACAGGGCGCCTTCTCGCTGAGCGGCTACAACCGGTGAGTGCCCTGCCGTCCACCCTGCCTCCCGGCCAGCTGCTCCCACCCCTGTGTCTGCCCAGACTGCCGAGATGGCTTAGGTCCCCAACCCGTGACGCCACACCCACCTCCTCTCGGCCTCCTTGGGGTCTCACTCCCCCACAGGCTAGCCTCTGGCCTTTGCCCAGGGCCTGGGGAGGAGGCTGGGGGCTTCCTGCTGCCTTATCAGCAAGCCTCGGGTTGGGACAGCCTGCTTTCCAGAGTCCCCATTCAGCCTACTGCCCGGTGACCTTTGCATCCTTCCTCCCACCCTCTTACCCTCCAGCCTTCCCTCCAAGGGGCCAAGCCCAGCACCCCCCAGGCCCTGTTCAGGCCACCCCCGCTCCAGGGGCCTCCCAGGCTGGGTCAGCACCCTGCTTCCCGTGTGCATGGGTCGGGTCGGTCCAATGAGGGGCCACGAGCCTGCCCTCGAGGGGCTCCCAGGCTGATGGGGGGCAGGCACCAGGCCCGAGCTCTCTGGGTGGGATGTGGCAGCAGCCACTGGCATCGTCTGGATCCACCCCATGGCTTTGGGGGCCTGCACAGCAGGGTGCAGTGGGCACCAGGGCCCTGCCCCTATGGCATTAGTTCGTGCCAGCCTCCTCCAAGGTCCCGTGGTCTCACTGGTGCGACTGGGACCCTCAGGGAGTGACTCTAGGCCAGCGCTTCTCAACCTGTGGGTCGCGACCCCTCTAGGGGTCAAGTGACCCTTTCACAGGGGTCGCCTAAGACATAACAGTAGCAAAGTTACAGTTATGAAGTAGCAACAAAAATAATTTTGTGGTTGGGGTCACCACCGCAAGAGGAACTGTATTACAGAGTCGCAGCATCAGGAAGGTTGAGAACCGCTGCTCTAGGCCTTAGCTCACACCCCAGCCACAAGCTGAGTGGGGAGACTTGCCCAGGCACCGCCCAGTGACAGGCTGGCAGAGCACCACGGCCGCTCTGGGGTCACTGGGGGAGGGGCGTTTCCTTCCTTGGACTCCCCCTCTTGGCCTGGTGGAGGTGCAGCTTTGCCCCAGGGGGTGATCCAGGCCCTTTGATGGGCCAGATGGGCACACCTGCCCCCGGTGCAGCCCCCCCATGGTTTCTCTATGCACACCCTGCGTCATGGCTGGGGGACCACTACAGGGCGTCATTTCCTTAAAATGCTCTCAGGACAGCAGGGCAGGCAGGGTCTGAGGTGGGAGTGTGGTGTCCATGTGTGGGCACTGAAGGTGACATGTCCTTGGAGGCCACAGGCGGCTGCTCCCAGGACATCCTCCTGGACCTCAGACTCCCCTGTCCACCCCCTGCCCACCCTTGCACCCACACTTTCCTCTGCCTGAAGCCTTAGGCCTTCCAGATCCGCCCATGTCTCTCAGAGCCAGGTGCTGGGTGCCCAGACCTGTCTCAGGGCGGGGCAGTCCCTGCGGGTGTGGACAGGGGGTGACCCCGGCCCTGTGCCCTTAGGGTGATGCGGGCAGCCGAGGAGACGACGTCCAGCAATGTCTTCCCCTTCAAGATCGTCCACATCAGCAAGAAGCACCGCACGTGGTTCTTCTCAGCCTCCTCCGAGGACGAGCGCAAGGTGCCTGGGGGGTCCTGCGGGGACGTGGTTAGTGCATGGGCAGCTGGGCAGGTGCTGCCCCTTGGTGCCCTGACCTCACACCCAGGTACCAGCACCACACGCTCAGAATATGCCCTCAGGAGGAGCCTTGAATGGGCTGAGGGGGCCACCGCCAGGTGGTGTCCCCGGACTTTCGTGTGCACTGCAAAGCAGCAGTGCAGTGAAGGGACGAGGGGAGGGTGGGGCTGTGCCCTGGGCAGTACCATGCCCACCTTGACCCTGGTTGACCCACAGAGCTGGATGGCCTTGCTGCGCAGGGAGATCGGCCACTTCCATGAGAAGAAGGAGCTGCCTCTGGACACCAGGTGAGCCTATGACTGTGCTGGGGAGACAGGTGTTTCCAGGGGTCCTGGGCTTCACACATGCACCCCGCCTCCCAGCATCCTCTCCTTGGAGGTTCTGGAGGTGTCGAGTGGGCCGCATGTGTCCCAGGTGTGCACCAGCATGTGTGTCCCCATGCACCTGTGTGTTCATGCACCTGAGTGTGTAAGCATGTGTGTGTGTACTGAGTGTGTGTGTTTGTGTGTGCCCCCGTTGGTAGTGCCTACTTAGGGGTCACATGCTTTTACCTGCTCACCCAAGAGGCCCAGCATTTGCAGCTGCCCAGAGCTTTGGGTACCCCCACCATGTCCACCCTGGCTGGCTCAGGAGTGAGACCAGAGTGAGTCCCCACGACACAAGCTCAGTCCATCTGGGTCTCGGCGACCTCACTTAGGTGGCCCAGCCAGCAGCAGGAGCTCTCTGGGCAGAATAGAAGCCATCCTGTCCTTTCATAGATGAGGCAGCTCAAGCCAGAGATGGCCTGCCACACCCGAGGCCATCTTGCAGGTCCCTGCTTGCTACTGGAGTCCTGGCCTTCAGTCCCAGCCAGTGTCCTTCAGCTTGGCCTAGAGATGACGAAGCCCCCGTGGCAGGAGCAGGGGGACGGGGGCCCTGAGGCCTGGGAGCAGCTGGCTAGTCACGCGGCCACACTTGTGGCAAGAACCACGGCGGGGGAGGGCAGGGAGGCACCACAGCCTCCAGCTGCTGTGTTAGTCCTGGTGCCCCTGCATGGAGCATGTCTGTGTGTCTGTGTCTGCATGCCTGTCTGTCCTCATTCTGTGTATATCTATTTCTAGGTCTGTGTATCCTTGTGTCTCTGAGGGTCCTTGTGTCTGTCTGTGTATACGTCCACGTGAGCGTGTTTGAGTGTGTGCACATGCCTGTGTTTGTCTGTGTCTGTGCGTGCTCACGTGTGCAGGTGTGTCCGTACTTGTGAGCACAAAGGGAGCCCTGCCCTGTGCTCACTGCCCGGCCTCCGCCCGCCCTCCCCGAACCTCAGTGACTCCAGCTCGGACACGGACAGTTTCTACGGTGCAGTCGAGCGGCCTGTGGACATCAGCCTCTCTCCGTACCCCACGGACAACGAAGGTGAGGCCCCCTGGCGCGCTCCGCCCCCTGGCGCGCTCCGCCCCCTGGCGCGCTCCGCCCCCTGGCGCGCTCCGCCCCCTGGCGCGCTCCGCCCCCTGGCGCGCTCCGCCCCCTGGCGCGCTCCGCCCCCTGGCGCGCTCCGCCCCCTGGCGCGCTCCGCCCCCTGGCGCGCTCCGCCCCCTGGCGCGCTCCGCCCCCTGGCGCGCTCCGCCCCCGGCGCGCTCCGCCCTGGCGCGCTCCGCCCCCTGGCGCGCTCCGCCCCTGGCGCGCTCCGCCCCCTGGCGCGCTCCGCCCCCTGGCGCGCTCCGCCCCCTGGCGCGCTCCGCCCCCTGGCGCTCCCGCAGTGACAGGACCATCCTCCAGGTCGCTGCCTGGGACAGGAGGCTGCCTTGGCTCTCCTGCCTCTGGTTCCCTGTGGCTCCCCAGCGGCCAGCCTGCTTTGTCCTCATCCCCGCCCCAGGCCTCCCTGACAGTAGTGCTCCGAGGCCCCCCCACTGGCACAGCTAGACGGGTCTGCTTTGTTCTGACTCCCTACCTCCCCACCTCCCCGCAGACTATGAGCGTGATGACGAGGACGACTCGTACCTGGAGCCGGACTCCCCTGAGCCCGGGAAGCCCGAGGGTAGGTGGCTAGCTGTGAGCCTGGTGCTCTGGCGCAGAGAGCCGGGACTAGGGTTGCCTGCTCCACTCCCCGCCTTAGTTTCCCTGTTTGGCCCTAGTGTCAGAAAGGACAGAGCAGAAGAGGTGCGCATGCTGGCTGCTCTGCCCCCTGCTTCTCAGGTCGGGGCACACTGGGGTGCTGAGCCAGCTGGTTCAGGGTGAGCGGGCCCAGAGCAGGAGCCACTCCCCATGCTGACAGCTCTCTGTGGAGCTCTGTAGGCAAGACAGCCACTCAGCAGCCCACGCCCCACCCCCGCCTCCTGAAGCACATGCCTCAGCAAGGGACACTGCATGTACCAGACATTGCATGTGTGTGTCCCCTGGAGGCACAGGGCGGGTGGGCAGGACTGTGCTTCTGTCTTGCTGTCTGTCTTTCTGCCTGTCCCCATCTGTCTTCCCTTCTACCCTTCCTCAGACCCTGGGCTCCTCTCATTCTGTTGATTCCATTATCCCTGAGGACTTGGGACAGTCCTCCCAGCCCCTGGCCGCCTTCTTGCTTGGCCTCCTCTCCCATGTCCTATCCTCTGCCCACTGCAGTCCTCACTCCTGTGTCCTTTCAGCTCCGCCTTCTCACGCACACCCAGGTCCGGCCCTTCCCCTCCTCCGGGCTCCCCCCAGTGGGCCTCAGCTCCCACTGGCCTTCAACCCACCAGCACCTTTGAGCCATGGCCTCTCCTCACCCAGTGCAGAGCCCCTTCCTCACAGGCGCCACCTCTCCTCTGGCCTGTGACCCAGCCTGGTCCATCCTACCCGTGAACTGTGAACCGCAGCCTGGGGTGCTGGCGATGAGCGCAGGGATGCAGGACCCTCAATCCCGCCATCTGCTCACCCGGGCTTGCTCCCTCCCCCCGGGGAGAGTGCCACCGCTCCAGTCAGGCGGTCCCCTCCTTTCCCCGAAACCTCTCCTACCAGGGTCCCAGGGCCTCCTGCTCCCAAAGCAGCACTCAGCACCCATGAGTCGCGCAGGCCCGGTGCCTGCCCTGCTCTCGCCTATGACTCAGCACCAGGAGCTTTTGTTCTGGGGCCAGCCCCCCAGTCCCTGTCCCCACAACTGAGGGCCACCCAGGGCGCGGGCCTGGAGTACTCTCTCCTGCCACACCTGGGCCACAGCAGTGTCATTAGTGGGCCGTCAACTCCGCTGACTTCTGCAGCCCAGACTCCTCCTCCAGTGTCCCGTCTGTGCCCCGACAGCCCAGCTGATGTCCCCTGGCCGGCTCCAGCACCCTAAACCTGTCAGGAGCAAACGCTACCCTCATCTTCTTCCAGCCTTCTCCCGCCACCCTCCTCCCCTTGCTGGTGGGAATCCGGCCCCCAGCTGAGGCCAGGCCTTGTGCCCTCCTTGTCTCTCTCACTCCCCCTCTGGGACCCGATGGCTCCTGGAGTGAGTGACAGCTAGGCTTCTGGAAGCCTGCTCGGGCTGCGTGTGGTGTGGGTTGGTCGGGACCCCAGGAGGAAGGGCCTAGAAATACTGAGCGTGGGGATTTCAAGGAGCAGTGCATCCTCTTGGCCCAGCTGTCTGCTCCCTGCGGAGGTAGCGTGGGTCCCACCTCCAGCAGGTGACACTTAGCTCACCAACTGGGTCTCTTTGCTCTGCAGATACCCTGACGCACCCACCGGCCTACCCCCCGCCTCCCGTGCCCACGCCCAGGAAGCCAGCCTTCTCTGATGTGCCCCGTGCCCACTCCTTTATCTCCAAGGGCCCGAGCCCCCTGCTGCCACCCCCGCCCCCTAGGCGTGGCCTCCCCAATCCTAGCCCGCCTCCTGAGGACTCCAAGAGGGACTTGCTGGGCCTGAGATGGCCTGAGCCTGGCCTCAGGGTGCCTGCTACCTCCCGGAGGATGAGTGACCCCCCGATGGGCAGCCTGCTCAACACGCCCAACCTCCGGAAATCCCCTTGCTTCTCTGAGAGCACCAGCCCCAGCCCAGAGCTCCGGGTCCCCAGCCACGGAGTCAGCTCTGCCAGCGTGGCCACGGCCACCTCCAGGAGCTGTGATAAACTCAAGTCCTTCCACCTGTCCCCCCGTGGGCCACCCACGCCTGAGCCCCCACCCGTGCCAGCCAACAAGCCCACGTTCCTGAAGATGGCTGAAGAGGCCCCCCTGAGGGAGACAGCCAAGCCTGGACTCTTTGTGCCCCCTGTGGCCCCCAGGCCTCCTGCACTGAAGCTGCCCATGCCAGAGGCCACAGCCCGGTCTGCAGTCCTGCCCAGGCCAGAGAAGCCAGCCCTCCCTCACCTCCAGTGAGTCTGCTGGCGCTGTTGCCACTGGGACCCCTCCCAATCTGGCCATTTCTCCCATGGCACCCCAACCTCCCTACCCCTGGCACTCCACCCACAGTGGGTGACACTGCCCTGCACAGGACAGCAAGGCTCTGCCTAGGCCGAGTGGCCGCCTCTGCACCTGACCCAGGGGTCCAGAGGATGTCCAACCTTGCCCTCGAAGGATGTCCATTCCAGGGTGTGGAGGACCTGGAGCGCATGGCTGCCTGGGAGCAGTGGGCCAGGGGGCTTTGGGGACACGAGGCCCCAGAACTTCTGCTGTGCCGGGGAGGCCGTTGGGGTCTGAGAGAGGCTTGCAGAGCTGGCTGCCAGCCCTGGCAGAGACCGAGTGGGGACAGGAGCGCGGCTGTGTGCCTCTCGGACCCTGCCTGGGGCTCTGGGTGTGTTCTGGGAGCCAACAAGCCTGCCTTTGTGCCCTTCCCGACTGGGAACTTGCTGGAATGTGCAGCCTGGCTGTGACTCACTCTGTCTCTGGGCAGTGCCAGGAGACCAGAGCGTGCCCACTTCCAGTGTCAACAGCCTGTGGTCAGATATGTCTGGGGCCCACAGCAGTGAGGGTCCTGGGAGCCACAGGTGGGCACTAAACCAGGGCTCCCACGACACCCTTGACCATGGCACCCTTCTCCCCGCGGCTCTTTTTTTCATCCTCACTTGATGATATGTTTACTGATTTTTAGAGAAAGAGAGAAACATTGACATGAAAGCAAAACCTTGATCTTTTACCTCTGTGTGTGCCCTGACTGGGGATCGAACCCATGCCCTTTTGGTGCATGGGACGATGCTCCAACCAACCGAGCCGCTGGCCAGGGCTCCTCAGGACTCTCGTCAGCCCTGCTGCCTGTGGGCGGTGCCTGGGGGGACCCCTTGCCATGCTCACCTGTTTCACGAGGCCACAGTGATGCAGACTGTCATTTTGCCGAGCCGGGGACCTGGGCCTGGGTGCCAGGGTCGATCGTCTACAGCAGTCTCACCTGCAGTCCAGCAGCCCGTCCTGTGTGGCCCTTAATTCTCCCTAGGGCCACCTGGCCTCTTGTGGGGGGCATGTCCCTTAGGCTCCACCTGTTCGTATCCATCCACACTGGCTCTGGAGGGGTGTGACTTGGCCGAGGTCACAAAGCGGGTCAGTGGCAGAGTGGGCCTTCTCCTGCAGCATCCAGAGCACTTGTCCGCAGTGTGACTGTCAGTCCTGACCTCAGCTCCGGCTTCCAGGTCCAGGTCTCTCCTGCCACCTCGGAGGGGTCAGCACGGCCTCTCAGGGCTCTGTGGGCCTTTCTCAGCCGCGGCTGTAGCAGCCAGCCCCGTGGGTTCCAGGGCTGAGCTTGGCGCGGACACTCACAGGGTGCACAGGGCTGGTGTGTGGAGGGGAGCAGAGGGGCATGACCTGTGTGACAGGCATGACTTGCTACTTGCTCCCCTCCCAGGCGATCACCCCCCGATGGGCAGAGTTTCAGGAACTTCTCCTTTGAAAAACCCCACGTACCCTCGCATTCCGACGCCCTGCAGGCTGACGCTGGTGGGAAGGACTCTGACGAGGACTATGAGAAGGCAAGGCAGCATGGAGAGCCCAGATCCCGGCCGTGGGTGGGCGGCGCAGGAGCTGCAGGCTGGGGGCCCCGCACTGGCCATCTCCGGCCAAGAGCCCCCAGGACCCTGGAGTGAAGGGGACAGGATGCAGTGCCAAGCCTGGGACCTCAGCACAGGCTGGCAGCCAGCGGGGGGGAGGGGAGGTGCTGGCCACAAGCACCATTCAGACCTTGCTGCTGACGACTGTTGACCTCTCTCCAGGTGCCACTGCCCAGCTCCGTCTTCGTTAACACCACGGAATCCTACGAGGTGGAGAGGTCAGTGGGGAGCCCTGCTTTCTCCAAAGTCTTATTTTTGTAGACATGAGGTTCCCTGTCTTTCTGCTTTCTGCTTCCCCCACTCACCTTGGTGCTGGGTCATTACTGGCACAAGGGTGGCCGAGGGTAGCTGGGAACCTGGCGGAACAACAGATGCCGGCAGCTCAGCCCCACTGTTGGCTGTCACCCTGGGCATGGTCCGGAGCTTGCATGGGCGGCTCCTCTCAGCACCCACTGCTCACGGTGCCCCCTGCCCACGGAGCCCCTGCCTGCGGCGCCCCCTGCCCGCGGCACCTGAGCTTCAGGATAGTGAGAGGACAGAAGCCACACGGGCCTGGGGCTGGAGGGTCCCCGAACATCTGAGGATGGTTCACCTGCTGACTTAATTTTCAGGCTATTTAAAGCCACAAGCCCCCGGGGAGAGCCCCAGGACGGACTCTACTGCATCCGCAACTCCTCCACCAAGTCTGGGAAGGTAGGTGCCACGGAGGATACCAAGCAAGGGCCCTGGGCATGGCTGCATCGTGCTGGGGCCTGCTGGCCCACATGGGGCTTTACAGGGTGTAGATCCCTTTCCTGTGCAGCTCTTACTTGCCATCTCAACCGAGTGCCATTCGTGGGGTCTCTTCTTGGCAGTCACCCCTCCCTATTTATTCTCGGGAACTGCATACCATCTGTACACTGGGGAAGGTGGTAGCCGCCCCCCAGCACTGCCACGAGACAGGAAGGAGGGGCTGGGCCCCAGACTGATGCCGTGGGAGTTTTGCGTTCTGAAGAGGGAGGCTGCTTGGGGCACTGGGAATGGCCGGTTATGTGCCAACTTTGCCTCTGCTCCTCCAAGGGTGACTTGTTTGTAACCTCACTGAGCCTCAGTTTCCCCATGTGGATCAGACGTGGTCCTAGGGTGGACCAGGCACCTGCAAGTCTCATCAGAGACCATTGAGGGCAGGAGCCCCGAGGCGAAGGGCTGCCCTTTCCCACGCTGCGGTCCCATGTGCAGGGCGGCCCTCCCCACGTCACCGCCGAGGGCCACGGGACCCAGCCTTGATGCTGCTCACCCTCTGGGTCCCTGACGCCCAACTTTCCCCAGGTCAGAGCTGTTCTCAGCCTGCCCTCAGCTGTCGCCCGCTTTTCTCCCCGCAGGTTTTGGTTGTGTGGGATGAGACCTCCAACAAAGTGAGGAACTACCGCATCTTTGAGAAGGTAATCAGGCCGGCTCCCCCGAAGGCCCTGAGTGGGAAGGGACCCTGGCCTGGGGCGTGGCTGGGGGCAGGACAGTCTCCCCCTAGAGTATAGGCTGGCACCTCCAGGCACCATCTCTCCCCGACTGCCCCAGCCTCCCCTCTTCCCTTGCCTAGCTGTATCCTCAGCTGACCTGAGGGCATGGGGTGATCAGCTCTTGATCCTGGACTGATCTGCAGACCTGGCCTGCATCCCCTGGGGAGCAAGGCGGGAGCTTGGAGGCAGGCGCGGAGGGAGTGTGGGCCAGCAGGGGCAGGCCTGTCATGATTGCTGACCCCCCATTTTGCATGAAGGCAAGGCTCGCCAGCCCCCATGACCTTGCCCTCCTTGCTCCCCAGGACTCTAAACTCTACCTGGAGGGCGAGGTCCTGTTTGTGAGTGTGGGCAGCCTGGTGGAGCACTACCACACCCACCTCCTGCCCGGCCACCAGAGCCTGCTGCTGCAGCAACCCTACGGCTATGCTGGGCCCAGGTGACGCCTGCACACAGCTGCTGGGCAGAGGCGACTGGGGCCACCACCTCAGGCCATGCAGATGAGACTGGCCTGCCCGGGAGGAAGAGCTCTGAACTGCGGCCTCCCCAACAGACATCGGCCGAATCTGCCAGGCTGGGCTCCAGCCAGCGGGCTGGGTCCTCGGAGCTAGGCGAGCCCCCAGGCTCCAAAGGGCTGGGGGCCCTCAGATCCCACCTCCCTGCCCAGTCACACCTCCCAGGAGCCCAGGGTCCCAAGACCAAGTCCTGACTGAGCTTCATGGACATGAATTCTGGTCCCCAGCACACCCACCCTGCACTGGGCTGGAGCCGGGCAGGGCGCGGGCATTTGGGGTTGGGGCAGGGAGTGGCCCAGGACCCCCAAGGAACGCTAAGACTCAGGCCCCAGTGGGGCCTCTGCTGCACAATAAAGCACTGGTGACCTTTGCCTTGGTGGCCGGGCTTCGTTGGGAAGGAGGGGTGACCAGCTTTCTTGAGTACCCACACCAACATTCAAGTGATCTCCCCGTCTTCCTGGGCACAGGTTGCTAAATGACTTGCCCCAGGACACAGCTGGTAATATTGGCACAGGACCCAAATGTGAGCCATCCGGGCTCAGAGCCTGCAGTCCGAAGTGCCAGGTTCTGCTGCTACAAGTCATGGCCGGGACAGTGGGCTGCAGAGCCTGAGGGCCCACATCTACAGCTGGGTCACTTGCTAGATTAACAAGTGGTTCTTGGGAGACAGCTGGGCAGGGGGTGCTCACAGTGCACGCTGTCTGGAGCGGAGGGGTGTGCAGGGGCTTGGAGCTTGAAATCTAGCTGGGGTTCCAGGAAGACTTCTTAGAGGAAGTGCCTGCTATAGACAGGGGCAGGAAGAGTAAGGGCTGAGTAGGCCAAGGGTAGGTGGGGATGGTGGCACCCAGATGGCTGAGTCCACTGGGCCACATGTGGCTCAGGTCCATCCCTCATTTCCTGCCACGGAATTCCAGCAGGCCACTTTCCCTGACACGGCCATCTGGGCTGGATATATGTATGTATTATTATTACTTTTTTATCCTCACCCGAGGACATTTTTCCATTTTTGTTCAGTTAGGTGGGAGGGAGAAAGAGGGAGAGAGAGAGAGAGAGAAACATTGATGTGAAAGGGACACAGAGTGGCTGCCTTCCACACAACCCCAACGGGCTGGGGATAAACTACAACCGAGGTACGTGCCCTTAGTGGGAACCGAACCTGGGTCTCTCTGGAACACAGGCCGACGCTCTAACTGCTGAGCCAAACTGGCCAGGGCTGGATATATACTTTTTATGTGTGTGTTAAACAGCCTCAGCTCGGGGTCAGGGCTGGCAGGGACCCAGGATCATCTAATCCTCGCTCTTCCTGGGCACAGGTTGCTAAATGACTTGCCCCAGTCATTCCTTTTCCTTGGGAAAAGGAATTTGCTGTGTGTAACCCAAACCTAGGCCGGCACTTGTGCCCACTGTCCCCTGGAGAAGGCCCTTTGGACTTCTCTCCCCAACCTGGTTATGTCCTGTGGTGGGGTGGTTTGCTGGAGAAGGAGATGAAATGAAGCTGGTCAGCTGATGTGAGGCCATGCCTCTGGGGTGCAGTGGGGACAATGGCCATCTGCTTCCAGGAACCAAGTGTCCCCACTGTCTGCAGACATTTCCTCTAATGCCTGCCTGGGGCGAGGCTTGGTGCATCACGTTGAGTCTGGGGCACAGGGAACTCCGGTGTCTTGCACCAGCTGGAAAACCAGTAACCCTTTGCCTGCAGTTGAAGTTCTCTGGCCTCTGCCCTGCACTCACTTGGGGAACACAGCGAGGCGCAGGGTTCCCCACTGTGGCTGCAGCTTCCCTTCCTGTAAACATACTGCATATTCCTCACCTTGGTACACGCTTAGAGGAAAGGAGAGAGAGAGACACGTCAATGCACACTCTGGCCGGGTCCTGTAAAATTTTTATTTTTTAATATGTTTTTATTGATTTTTAGAGAGGAAGGAAGGGAGAGGGACAGAGAAATATCTATTGGCTGCCTCCTGCATGCCCCCTGCTGGGGATTGAGCCCACAACCTGAGTGCACGTGTCCTGATCTGGAATCAAACCAGCAACCTCTTGGTACCTGGGTTGATGCTCAACCACTGAGCCACACTGGCTGGACACACTTTTATTTTATTTTTTTTTATCCTCATCCGAGGACTTTTTTGTTCAGACAGCAGGAGGAAGAGAGAGAGAGAGAGAAAAACATCGACGTGAAGGGACACATCGAGTGGCCGCCACCCGCACGACCAACCAGGGCCGGGGACAAACTGCAACCGAGGTACGTGCCCTTAGCGGGAACCGAACCTGGGTCTCTCTGTACCGCAGGCTGACGCTCCAACCGCTGAGCCAAACCGGCCAGGGCTGGACACACTTTTAAATGGGACTTGGATCAGAGAACATTTTCCAGCTGGGGCCTGGGATCCTCTGCACTGGTGATTCAAGTCGGGATGCAGGACACTATGGCTTTTAGCTAACTTGTGGCCACTTTGGAGACAACTCGGTTGGTGAAATATATTTGAAGACCCCTGAGCTGGAAGGTTGAGAGGTTCTGGGGCCCAGAGTCACATGATAGGTATTTCTAGCTGCCTGGACAGGAGAGGCCTGTGGCTGTGCAAGCCCCACTTCAGGCTCTGGCCTGGCCGCCCTCCCTCCAGGTCCTGGGCCTGCTTCTTTGCGAACTGCCCCTGGGCCCAGGACCTCAGTTGCAAATGTCTGTGTTAGGGGGTGGCAGACGGGGGTCCCATGCATGGCCCTCTAGCATGAAGCTGGGCCAGGAGAACTCACTCCCTCCTGAGACCTGCTAAGAATGTTCTGCTCCTCGCCTTGGCCGGTTTGGCTCAGCAGTTGGAGCATTGGCCTGCAGACCAGAGAGTCCTGGGTTCGGTTCCCGCTAGGGGCACGTACCAAAAAAAAAGAATGTTATGCTCCTTATTTAGGGTGGGAGAGTGCCGTCTCTTGGCCTGCCGGGATCAGTGCAATGCAATGAAACTACAAGCACACGCGGCTTGGAGTGAGGGGGAGCTTTGCAAGGTAGCAAATGCTCCAGATTTCTGGATGCAGTCCCATTATTTGCAGATTGGTACCCCCAGGTCACAAGTAGATTTAAGTAAATTATTTTCTTGAGATGGCATTACTGCAGTCACCCTAGCTTTGTCTCTTGCTTTTTCCGGAAGAGACCTTGAAGCCAAAAGATTAACAAACCTTTATTCACATGTAAATGAAGCACCCAATACACCTGGGCGGGTCAGGTCCTTAACGCAGGGTTTAAACACCCCCCAATCCCACAGAGGGTGTGTGCCACCTAGTGAGCACTTCTCGTGCTCAAGGTGCTGAGCTGGGTACTTGACATAGTTTGCTTGGAGAAGTAGTTGCTATTAGCTCCATTTTACAGGTGAGAAACTGGGGCTAAGGCCTGGATTCAAGCCCTAGTGCTGCCACTTACTGCCATGTGATCTTCCTCCTCTGAGCCCAGACCCTAGCCCCTGCCTAGCTCCCCACCACCCCTCGCAGCCTCTAATAGTTATTATGGGGTGCCCAGAGTCCATTCCTGGGCTGGGGAAAAAAGCCCCAGACACTTTGGGAAGCTTCTCCAAGCCAAGAACTGACCTAGTTTTACTTTTCCTGCAGTTGATCATAAAGTGCAGTGAACCTCTGTATCTTGTTATTAGAGACTTTTATAAAAAGATATATATATATATATATATATATATATATATATATATATATAATCCTCACCCACCCAAGGACATTTTTCATAGATTGGGAGGGAGAGAGAGAGAGAGAGAGAGAGAGAGAAACATCTATGTGAAAGGGACACATCGAGTGGTTGCCACCCGCACAACTCAACCAGGGCGGGGGGCAAACTGCAACTGAGGTACATGCCCTTAGTGGGAACCGAATCCTGGTCTCTCTGGACCACAGGCTGACGATCTAACCACTGAGCCAAACCGGCCAGGGCATAAAAAGATGTTTTTAGAACCAGAAGACATCTCACAAAACAAGTCCCCAGTTGCTCCAAATTCCCACCCCTACTCTGGGTCGCATTGTGTGGACGCCCCCTGCTGGTCCAAGGAGGCGCTTCCTGCCCTCCAGGTGGGATGGACGGCTTGACCGGGCCCCAGGGAAGAAGAGGCCTGGTGCCTGGGGCCAAGGGGCTTCTTGCCCAGTGCCCACTGGATCTGGTCTCTGGAGGGGAGACCCAGAGGATACAAGGCCACACAGGGAGTATGGGGCAGGTCCAGCACTTGAACCAAATCTGTGTCTCTAGAGGAGGGCCAGTGAGGGGAGGGCCCCAGCCTCTGTCTCCAGCTGTGGCTGTGGCCCAGCAGCATGGGCAACTCACACACATATCCAGCTCTGTCTCTGTCCCAGCAGGTCTTGTCCCTTCGCACAGAAAAGACTGCCTGATGGGGGTGCAGGGAATCCCGGTGTTACAGGAAATCCTGAGACCATAGATACTGACAGATATTAGTGTGATAGTGGTAGGAGACATGGGGCTGGACCACCTACCTCGGTACCTTCCATTGATCTTCACAGAGAGAGTGGAGGAGGGGGAGGGAGGGAAAGAGAGAGTAAAAAACATTAATGCGAGAGAGACACATTGGTTGTCTCCTGCACGCACCCCATCCAGGGCCAGGGATCGAATCTGCAACTCAGCTACACTACGGGCCTCTGACCAGAACTGAACCCGAAATCCTTTGGTGTGGGTGCTGATGCCCAACCACTGAGCCACACCGGCCAGGGTTGGCCTCAGTCACTTTTGATGTCCCATAGAAACATTCCATTTGTACCAGATGCAAGCCACAGTTACTTTTTGAGTTACTTGGATCTGTGGGTTCGTATTTTTCAACAAATTTGAAAAAAAAACTTCAGCCATTTTATATCTTCAAATAGTGTATCCATCCTTCTCCCAACCATATCTCCCTGGTCAGGGAGTCTGATTACACACATAGTAGGCCTCTTGAAGTCCTACAACTCATTGGAGCTCTAGTCATTCTTTTTGTTTGTTTGTTTTTAATCCTCACTTGAGGATATTTTTCTATTTATCTTCAGGTAGAGTGGGAAGGAGTAAGAGAGAAACATCAGTGTTGAGAGAAACAAATCCGACTGGTTACCTTGCACTACCCAGCTAGGGCCAGAGACGAACTGCAGCCGAGGTGCGGTAGGTGCCCTTGACCAGACTCAAACTCACGACTCATTGGTCCACAGGCCGAGGCTTTAACTGCTAAGCCAAACCGGCCAGGGCTAGATAACTTTTGAAATCTGACACCACACATGGGTACATAGTTATTACAATGTTATGGACTGTATCCCCTAGGCTGTATTTCACATCTCCGTGATGTTTTGGTCACTTTTGTATCTTCTGTCTTTATTTAACACGCTCAGTTGTCTTCCACGTGCGTCCCTCCCTCCCTTCTTTGCTTCGGCAAGTCCACGGACATCCCTGGTGGGCCATGATACAGCAGTGTGGAGTTGTGTCCAGACCTGCGCACATCAGAGCCACAGCCTATTACCCATGTAGAGTACCCCTGACTCTGCTGTGGATACAGCCAGCGGTCCCTGCGGGAGGGGAGGCCTGGGCTCCTCACTGCCCTTGCACTGCCCAGCTCTGGGCCCCAGCTTTCCATGGGTATAAAGGGAACCAGAGGCTCTGCCTGCCTGACTCCCGGGCCTTTCTGGGGCTCAGGTGAGACGACAGGAAGGACAGGGTGGACAAGGTGCTGGTCTGGTCTCTAGGCCTGCCTCCAGGCCCAGGGCAGGTGAGCTGGCCTCCCCATCCCCTGGCTGAGAAGCTGACAGTGCACCCAGCACGGGCGGGCCAGGCCCCAGGCCCCCGGCCCCCGCCCAGTCCGTGGAGCCTTATCAGGGGCCGCAGGCCCGCTGTGCGCACCCCACCCTGGCTGCCAGCCGCCCAGTCTGCGCGGACGCCCCGCCGCGGGGCGGCGCACGCAGGTGCGTCTGGGGAGTG